GAAGCTGAATACAGGAGTCTGAGCTGCATAGTAAGGTCCTGTACAAAATGCATAAAAAAAAATTAATTAAATGTCAGTAAATAATAATCATAAGCAGGAAAATGTTTTTCATTTTGCTTCTTTATTTTGATCATTTTAAAGCAATAAATATAAATCAATATACTTATGTATAATATCAAACAAATACATTTTTAAGTCATTTTTATCATAATGTGGCATACAGTAGCTTTCTACTTATTCTAAAGGGTAAAAGCAACTAAGCTGCATAAAATTTTTCCCAGCTCACAAAAAAGCCTTTTAATTTCTTGCTAGACATAAAATTATCAATTCAAAATAACTTCCTTTAAAGTTTAGAAGGTCTGGGGCCAGGGAGATGGCTCAGTGGAATAAGCACTTCCCTGGCAAGTGCAAGGATCTGAGTTCAATCTCTGGTTCTGCCAAAAAAAAAAAAAGTTTAGAAGGTCTGTACATTTCCACGTTATTCAGTGTTATTTTTGTTATTTTTGTTTTGAGACAGAGGCTCCTGTACAGTTCTGGCTGGCCTTGTCCTCACTTTTGTAGCCCCCAGGCTGGTCTCGGACTCAAAGTGATCTTCCTGTATCAGCTTCCCTAGGGGGTGCTGGGCTTACAGGTGTGTGACACCACTCCTGGTCATCCACTGTTGTTGAAATATTGGTTGACAGTCTGATTCTTACACATTCATAAACCAGTTCTGTGTAGGAACTTTTATGATCTTATCTATATCCAATGATGTTCATTATTTTTTAGAATTATTTTTTCCCTTTTTTGTATCTTTCTCTCTTTTCTGGTTGTTCATTACTAGGGAATGAACTCCAGGGTACTGTAACACTGAGAACATCCCTAACCTGCCTCCCTCCTTTGTTTTTTGAGAAGAGATCGTGCCGAGCTGTACCAGCTGACCTCAAACTTGTGATTCCTCTTGCCTATGCTTCTTAGTGAAGAGACTATAGGCGTGGACCACTGCACAGCTTCTGGGATTTCTGTTAGGAAAATGTTGGAACTGCTAGATTAAATTTCTGTATCTTTTGACTTTTCCTTAATAATTTCTGTTTGAGTTTTTGTGGTATACTTTACTTTGCCCTTTTCCTTCTAGCCCTCACATTCAGTATGTGGTCATTTGGTAAAATTAACCCAATAGTGCAGGTTCTGTTAAATTAAAAAGTATATTGTAAACCAGAGAACAGCTAGGAAAAGAGACAGAGAATTGCTAGTAATCAGAGATAAAATAGAATTTAGAAATAATTAATCCAAAAATAGGTAAGAAAGAATTGAAATGAAATAATAGGACAGAGAGGAAGCAAATAGAAAGCATTCTATCATGTTCTTCCAAGAATTTCCTTATTGTCCAGTTTACTCTTTTTCTGAAACTTATTTTAGGATTTTTTTTTTTTTTTTTTTGCAGGGTGGGGGTGGTCCGAATGCCTTCAGGGCAGGTTTGGCTGGCTGGAGTTGTGGGGATCAAACCACAGCAACCCTAGCCTGACTGCTTTGTTGAAGCAGCCACTTAAAGAACTGAGCTAAGGGGCAGGCCCCCTTGAAACTTATTTTATATGAATTTTGAGATTTCCCTCTTTTTTCTAGGGTTAGAATTTGTATTTCAGGTTTGTGGGGATTTGTTTTATTTTGTTTTTGTGTGTGTGGTACTAGGGATTGAACCCTGGGCCTTCATACTGAGCTACATCTCCAGCCCTTTTCTTACTGTTTTGTTTACAGGTTCTTGCTGCCATATGGTCCAAGTCTGCCTCAAACTTACTATTTATCCCTGCCAAGTTCAGTTCTCAGTTCTTTTGCCTTATCCTCTCAAGCACTGGGTTTACACATGTTTTGTACTGTTCATAACAGTATTTCCATTATATAGAGTTCATACACTTCCATTTATATGGAATTCTGGAAGATACAGACTCATCTTTAGTAACAGAAAACATGTCAATGTTTACCCTGGGACCACCTTTGAAGGAGAAATTGGTTGCAAATGACTAAGAGGAAAGTTTTAGGAAGGGTGAAATGTTTTCTATGCCAGCTGTGTTAGTTTGCCAGTATATGTATCTCTTTCAGAATTCATCAGACTGTACAAATGGTTGCAAATTACTGTATGTAAATTGTAAAGGTGATTAGATAGACCAAAAAATATTTTCTGCCTTTGCTGTAGCTGTTTATCACCATCCTTGGCTGTTGAGTTGGAAGCCTTTAAACTCACTTTAGAATATAAGGCTTATTCATTAAGTATAAGTGTGGGGCCTTATTAGAAAATTATATTACTTCCAAACATGTTGAAAGTTTGGCATGGTTAATGTCCCTTTATTATTTGCTGTCCCATTTCAGCAATCATCAATCAATTTCAGAGATTCTTGTGATTGACAGAAAGCATTTAGCCAGCCTGGGTAACTTAGCAAGACCTTATTTCAAAACAACAATAAAAATGTTTTTAAGGTCTGTGGGTATAGTTGTGGTAGAGTATTTACCAAGCATGTATAAGCCCCTGGATTCAATCTCTTGTACCAAGAAGAAAAAGATTCCTGTGAACTTCAAGCTATTCTTCCATAAATGAAGTCACTGTGTGCATTATTGGCATAGGACAAAGAATACATGCACATGAATGTCCAATATTCTACTAAATTCACAAGTATTTTCCTTTCCCTAAAATCTTTCACATATCGGAACATGGAACAATGCAGAGAATACAAAATGAAGCAAAAGTGTTTATATTAGTTATTTCTGATTACAAGATTGAAAATTAGAGTTCTAGCCCAAACATGGTGGTTCACACCTATGATCCCAGCAAGGGGAGGCTGAGGCAGGAATATCACTGAGTTCAGGGCCAACATGGACTACATAGTGAGTTCAAGGCCAGCCTGAACTGCACAGTGAATCCTTGTCTCAAAAAAAGACAACAAAAAATAACTGTAGAGTTCCTGTGAGCACAAAACAATCTTTGAACCATTCCTAAAGTGTATTTGTCATTTATAGACAGTAGTAATGATAGTGCCCTTCTGTTCAAGCAGCTTAAGTTCAAAATAGAGGCTTTGTGTTGCTTAAGAATGCAGCCATGTTAAGTCAGACCTTGAGCTGGCCAGTCCAGTATTTTATGGCAATAGCAGGGCTTCCAGGAAGATGGTGGAGTGGCAGGCAGCAGAGAAAGAGCCTTTCTGGGATTTGCTGTCCAGGTATTGAAATATTACAGTGCAAGGAAGAGGAGAAGAGAAATAGGTTCCCTGCACCAGGAAAGATCTGAACCGAACATTGACAATCGCAGTACTTTTTGTTTATTAATGTTTTTGATGGAATGTGGGCTTGCTATGTAGTTCAGGCTGACCTTATATCCACTATGTAGCCCAAGTTGGCCTAAAATACATGACAAAACTTTTAGTGATGCTTGCTTTATTTTTTTGAGACAGGGTCTTCATATGCAGTTGAGGGGCTGGGCTTGAACTCACATAGCCCAGAGAGACCTCAAACTCATGCAGTCTTCCTGCCTTAACCTCCCAGCTTCTAGGATTACAGACATGTGCCACCACGCCTGGCCTCTTAGTGATTCTTAGAGTTTGGAAAGTAGTAATAGTTCCATAGCGGGGTATGGTTGGTGCACCGGTGTAATGTCAGCACTCAGGAGGCTGAGGCAGAAGAATCCCTGAGAATTTGAGGCCAGCCTTAGCAACAGTGATTTTTCAAAAAAATCTTTTTCTTTCATTTATTTGGTACAGGGTCTCACTACACAGCTGGGATTACAGACATGCGCCACCATGCCCAGTTTTGGTTGCCAGCGTGGCACAGGGCCAGCATGTCATTGAACCTGGGTCCTTGCACTTGCCAGGCAGGCACTTAGACCGTTGAGCTATCTCCCCAGCAAGCAACAGTGATTTCAAAGCCAGCGTGCACTATGCAGTGAAACCCAAAACCCTGTCCCCCACAAAAAGCAAATAATAAATGTACTTAATACTACTGTGTCCACTTTACATTTCAGTAAGACAAAAACAAATGGAGAAAACTGTCTCTTTTCCTAGCATGGATTAGCTTTATCTCCAAATATCAAAATTTTAATGAATTAGATCCTATCATATACTACAAAGTAAAAAACATAGCACATTATTTTACTAAGACATCAATAGGAGATATACCCAAATATTTTCCTGCAAAGAGAAAAAGATAGAACTGAATATTGAGGCTATGTTGATATATCCACAAAAGAAAAAAAATTTAGTGGACTACAGATACAAATCAGTGGTGGAGTAATTGCCTAGCATTGTATAAGGTCCTGAGTGTAGTTTTCAGCACCATAAAAAAAGAAAGAAAGAAAGAAAGAAAGAAAGAAAGAAAGAAAGAAAGAAAGAAAGAAAGAAAGAAAGAAAGAAAGAAAGCAAGCAAGCTAGCTAGCTTCTAGTAAAGTATCTTTGCAGCTTTTGGATACCGAGTGTAGTTTAACCAGTTACAAATTTATGCATGTCTGTAAATCCCTATGTTTTGGAAATAGAGGTAGGATTTCTGTAAGCTTGAGGCCAGCCTGAACTAGTGAGACTCTGTCTCAAGAAAAGAAAAGAAAAGAAAAGAAAAGAAAAGAAAAGAAAAGAAAAGAAAAGAAAAGAAAAGAAAAGAAAAGGGGGGGGCAGGGAGATAGCTCAGCAGCATAAGCACCTGTCTGGCAAGCGCTAGGTGCTGAGTTCCACTGGTACAAAACAGACAACAACAAAAATAATCTTACAAATTAAAAGTGAAATTTTTAGTTGCTGTTTTCGTTTTGTTGACTTTTTTGAGACAGGGTCTCACCATGCAGTTCAGGCTGGCCTTGAGCTCACTGTGTAGCTCAGGTTGGCCTTGACCTTGAAATGATCCTCCTGCCTCAGCCTATTGAGTGCTGGGATTACAGCTTTGTGCCACCACACCCGGTCCTAATTGCTATTTTTATCCAGATAATAACAAATTTTAAGAACTTAAAGGTTGTATTATTAAAATACTTTTAAAGAGACTTCTTTTCTTCTAAACAGGTTCCAATTTATTGTGCCTAAAGAGTGGAAAAGCAAATACAGACCTGTGTGCATTCATCTTGCTGGAACAGGAGATCATGTAAGACTTTATTAAACACTGTAAGCCTCAGTAACTTTTTAACATATTCTCCATCACAGATGTGTTTACTGTGCTTGTTAAGTTTGTTGTCTTTTCTCTTCCTAGCATTACTGGAGGCGACGGACACTAATGGCCCGTCCAATGATTAAAGAAGCCCGAATGGCTTCACTGTTGTTAGAAAACCCTTATTATATCCTTTTATAATACCTATGACTTTTTTTTACTTATTTTTGTATTTAGTAATAAAAAAAATCCTAGATCCAGCTTTTCAAAACTAGTTCAGTCAGCATTTCAGAAAATAAGAATAAAAGAGTGTAAGATTATTTTATGCCCTTTAAAAAAATAATATAAGGGTTATCCTTCTGCTGTACAATGATAAATTGTATTTTTATTTCTTGAGGTATACTATCCTTTTTAATAAGTCAAATGCTTACTACTAAAACTTTTATGTTTGAAATGCATTTACAGTATCAGTTGAGGCTTAGAATAGTTCTTAACCTAACTTTCAAGATGACAGACTTGGGGGTTCAATCCCTAGCCTGCCATGCTAGCCCACCCCTGGGATGCGTTGAGACATCAGTCGAGACTGGGCATGGTGGCGCGTGCCTGTAATCCCAGTGCTTGGGAGGCCGAAAAACAAGAAGGATCACTACAAGTCCGATCTGTGTAGTGAGACCCTGTAGACCCTGTAATAGATACATTAATAATAATAATAATAATAATAATAATAATAATAATAAAAAGATGACAAACTTCACAGAAAAAGAAATGAAACTTATACACAGATTAAAGAAATGTTCAATATTACTGGTAATAAGAGGACTGTAAAGTGAAAACAATAATTACCAATAGTTTTTGAAAATAAAAAGCAGTACTGGAGAAATGGCAGAAAATCAGTTTAGCCCTTTAGAAAATCATTCTTCCTCTGTGTTCAAGAACCTTAAGACATCTTCCATCTTAACTGGAGGTGTTGATCAGTGGTAGACCAGTTGCCTAGCATCACCTCAAAAAGAAAAAAAATTAAAACCTTACATTATTTGGTAGAGTGACTTTGATTCTGGGAGATATATTCCAAATATAAATTACTAAAACAAAAACTGATAAAAAGACTTACACAGTTTTGTTTATAATTATAAGCTATTAGGAATAAATGTGTGAGCATTGGAGAAATGACTGAGTAAACTGGTTCTTCTAGAATTTTACAGTTGCTTGTGTTTATGGCTGTATACTTACTACCATTGTGACTTGGGACCTATTAACCTTTTTGTACCTCAGTTTTCTCATTGATTAGTGGAAATAATCTTTTATTTTATTCAGAGTATTGAGGGGCCAGAGAGATGGCTCAGTAAAATAAGCGCTTCCCTGGCAAGCACAAGGACCTGAGTTCAATCCCCACTTCTGCAAAATAAATAAACAGAGTATTGAATACTTAAGTGCTGCATAATAGTACTTAATTAAATAATAAGCATTTAATGTTTCAAGTGATACTAAAATTTGTAATGTATGAAAAGTAGTTATAATACAAAACAGAATATAAAGCCATATGGTCTCAGAGACAGAATGTATGCTTAGCATGCACAAGGCTCCAGATTCACTCCCCAGCAGCAAAACAAAAAACATGTGGCATAATATAGACATGCAAAAAAAACCCTGGACTTCAAACCAAGCACTTGTTCATGAGGAAGACACTAGAAGGAAATACACAATATATATCTTGGTTATAGTTTTTCTTGTAAATGCTTTTTTATATTTTCTAGATTACTTTATAATAAATATATAACTACACTAAAAAACTATCAGTGAGCTTCATTTTAAATTTGAGATGACAGTTTTACAAACCTGTGAGTATACTGAAAACATTAAATTATATACCTTAAATTGATAGATTATATAGTGTGATTTTATCTCAAAAATTATGCAATTTAAAAGAAAAAATAATGAAATGGAACATAGTTGGACATAATAGCACCTACTTATACTTTGAGATACTAAGGAAGCTAAGGCAAAAGAGTTTCAAATTAAGGGCACTGTGGTGACTTAACAAAGCCTGATATGAAACTAAAAAGTACTGGGACTATCGCTCCCTGGTAGAGAAAGCACTTGCCTACCACAAAAGCCTGTATTTGATCTCCACTCCTGCAAAAGAAGTAACAAAAACCTGCAAACTTGTTCATGGCCTGTGGAAGTAGCTAGGTAATAGTTATGTCCTAGTTATTGAGTTGTATTTAAATTAAACTATTCTAAGTTAATATGTCTTGCCACAAAAGTTCATTTAACATTTTAAAACTATCTCTTTGACCCATATTCTTAAATGGCTGCAGGAAGCCCAAGGACCAACTGTAAGTATTTATCACCTTCCATTTTGCAGTTTTTTAAAATTAAATGTTCAGCAATATTAAAATTTTTGGTAGCCTTCAGTAAACTATTTCTAAGTTAAATGTGCATGTAACTACAAATGATATACTCAATATGATATCAAATATGTAAAACATATTAAAGATACATTTACTTATGTCAAAAAAAATGCATGTATTATGGGAGTGTTATAAAAGAATAAGAATATTGGCTTTAATTCTTAAGATTTTTGCATTTTAAGTCTAATAAGCTACAATAAGGAGTTTTTATATTTTATAAAACTGTATTTGCCTGGCAAGCACAAGGGCCTGAGTTCAATCCCCGATTCCTCCAAAAAAAAGAAAAAAAAACCAAACTGTATTTGAAAAAATGAATTTTTTTCCTTTTATACTACATTTATACTATGCAGCTAAACATTCTTATTCTTGCCAAGCATAGATAGTATACAAAATCTAAAGGTTAAACATTCTTTCCAGTCTTTAAATTATGAACTTTGGCAATTACTTTATATCTCCATAATGTACTATATTGTGTTTTCTTTGGCTGGCTGATTTATTTATTTATATGTTTGTTTACTCATCTATACATACTTAGTGTTTTAGTTTTTGAGACTGGGTCTTACTGTGTACCCTAGTCTAGTCTATAACCAAACACCTTCACTAGAAGAAAAATAGTATCATTAACAAAGGTGCTGGAAAAACTGACTTTCCACATGCCAAAGATGAAAACTAGAACTATATCTTTCACTATGCACTTAACAAAATTCGAAGTGGATCAAAAATCTGAATATTACAATAGAAACAATAAACCTACTAGAAGATAAAATAGGTAGAACTTTAGAATACATTTATATAGGCAAAAAAACACTTAATGAATAAAACCCTGATCACACAGGAAATATCACAAAGAATCAACAACTAGGGTCTCATCGCATTAAAAAGCTTTTTCTACATCAAAATAAATCAAGAGTGAAGAAACAATGCTCCAGGTGGGGGAAAAAAAAAATTGCTAGCTGTTCCTCAAACAAAAGACAGCTGTCTCAAAACTCAGACCTCCCAAATTTAAAGACCCAGTCCAGAGCTGGGCATTTAAAATGAATATACACTTCAGAGGAAGTAGAAATGGCAAATTTATTAAAAAATGTTCAACATCACTGGTCATTGGACAGATACAAAGTAGAATAATGCTGAGATTCCATCTCCAAAAAGAATGACTCTTACCAAGAAATCAACAACAGGCTGGCGAGATAGTTCAGTGGACTAAAGCGCCTGCTTATGCAAGCTTAGGCAGACGCAGGGACCTTGGTTCAATCCCCAGCACCACATGCCGTTCTAGCCCCTCCCCCAGGGCAGGCTGAGCTGGCCACAAAAAAAAAAAAAAAAAAAAATCAACAAATACTGATGGGGTTGTAGTGAAAAGGAACCCTTCTCCACTGTTGGAAGTGTACACTGAGGCAAGCTCTTTGGAAATCAATGTGGAGATTCCTCAAAAACCTAGAACTAGAGCTCCCATCAATATCTGCTCTCTTTTTTGGTGTCTTTAAAAAAAAAATTAATAGCAATGTAAAACAGTGATATATACATGCCCATGGAAACAGCCCAGGTGCCCATCAATTGATGAATTTATAAAGATGTGCATTTTTTTTATCCAATGGGAGTACTACTTCTGCCATAAAGAAGGACAAATGAGGTATTTCTAGCTAAATAAGTTCATCTTGAGACCATACTCTTAAGTAAAACAATTTGGATGTGCATATTTTAATACCTCATTGTTTCTCTGGTGTGAGAAACTGAAAATGTAAATAAGGACCAAAGTGTATAATATTGAGAAATGGGAAGAAAATGTTTAATTGAGAAGGGAAAACAAGGGAGGTTGGAGGGGGATAAGAAGGGAAATGGCAGGGAAAAAAAGAATAAAAGGCAAAAATTAGAAACAAAGCTTTTGTAAATTAAGAGGGAAAGGGGTTGAAGGGAAGGGACAGGAATAGGAAAAACAATATGATATATTAGGAACAGAGTCACCATGATGTGTGTTATCACTGTGTATATCTAACATGTACCAATAAGGGCCAGGGAGACAGCTTAGCACCACAGTGCCTGCCTGGGAAGCAGAAAGTCCTGAGTTCAACACAGAGTGCTAATAAATAAATAAAAATAAATAAAATGTGCCAATAAAAAAATAATAGGCCTTCCACAAGGCATTGTGCACATGTGTAGACCCGGGAGGCTGAAGCAGCAGGATCACTGCAAGGTCAAGGTGAGCTGGACTTACATAGTGAGACTTTGTCTCAAAAACAAAACAAAAAAATATGTTCATTGAAGATTTCAGATTTTGACCAAGATGTGCTTTAGAAATCTTTTGTGAGGGAAATGCCTCAGTGCAAAGGCCTGAGTTCAATCCCCGGTTCCACCCAAAACAATATATATATATTTTTTCATTGTTGTTATTTGGTATTCTGTAAACTCTACTGTGTATGTTGGAAGTTTTCTTCATACTTGGAAAAATTTTTATTATGGTTTCTATAAAAAAGATTTTCATATTTCATGTGTTCTGGAATTTCTAACTCTAGTTATCCTTAGGTTGGTATTCTGAGTCATCTATTATTATTATTATTGTTGTTGTTGTTATTATTATTATTATTATTATTATTATTATTATTGAACTGGGGATTGAACTCAGGCCCTTGTGCTTGCCAGGGAAGCGCTTATTCTACTGAGCTGTCTCTCTGGCTCTTACTTGCATTTTGATGATTTTTTTTTTTACCATTTTGAAAGTTTCTCTGAGTAATGTTTCATAATTTACCATTTTGTCTTTGACCTCAGAAACCCTGTTTTCACAGCATACATTATTTCTACAATGTATGAATCCTGTGTAATTTCTTATTTCAAGTATCTTTAAAAAATTTTTTTTTAATATTTCATTTATTTATTTGGTACAGGGTCTTGCTACACAGCTTGGACTCGTAGTGATCTTCCTGTCTCAGCCTCCTTAGCACTGAGATTACAGGCATAACCACAACACCCAGTTTCAGTGGCTGGCTCAGTGTACCCAGGTTCCTGGGCCATCATGGCGTGCAGTACTAGGGTTTGAACCCAGGTCCTTGGCGCTTGCCAGGAGGCATTTAGATGGCCTAGCTATGTCCCCAGCCCTCCAGTATCTCTTTCTGACACCTTTTTGTGACTTTTATATTCATGATAAATTTGTCGTTCATGTTTTCAACCCTTTGATTAGCTCTTCCAGTTTTTTTGTTTCTTCATTATTCACTTTAGTCCTTTCGTATGTTTCATTAGTTTCTATGTTCAAAGCTGACCTCTGCTACACAGTGAGGCTGTCTTCCCAAAACAAACGAACAAAAAACCCACAAGAGAGATTTAGAAATATCTCAATTTTCTAAAAACAAAAATGACTTTGAACAGTTGGATCTGGTTTTATCAATATAGATTACTCTCTATACTGCCTCACATCAGTATCTTCTATGGAAGAGAACAAACTGAGGTGGACTTGAGAATTAAAGACTTCCACACAATGCAGACATTATCGCAGCACTTGGGAGGCTGAGGCGGGAAGATTGCTGTGAATTTGAGGCTAGCCTGGGCTACATAAGAGTAAGTTAACAAAAAGAGTTCAAAACCAGCCTGAATTACAGAGTGAGACCCTGTCTCAAAAGTAAATAGCCAAACATAGTGGCACATATCTGATTCCAGCACTTGGGAAGCTGAGTCAGGAGGTTCCTTGTGAGTTGAAGACCATCCTGGGCTACACAGTGAGCTCAAGGCCAGCCTGAAATAAACTGCATATGAAGACCCTATTTCAAAAACACAAAAACCCAATAATATTTTATGCCACTATTAAAGGATGGCTCTGGAGTGTAAAAAGATGTTTCAATACGACTTATAAGGAAACATACTGCTGGGCGTGGTGACATACACCTCTAATCCCACCTACTAAAGCTGAGAGGCATCACAGGTTTTAGGACAGCCTACATTGCTCAGCAAGACCCTAACTTTAAAAAAAAACATCAGGAGCATTGCACATTGCTAGAGTATTGCTGGGTTCAGTCCCTAGTACTTCAAAAAAGAAAGGGTATCAGGAGAAAGAGAGAAAAGAAATATATACATAAAGTTTCCAAAAACAGAATTATGAAAAAATAAAACAATTATGGTTTAGATTAATACTTACACATATTTTTATAAAACTTTTATTTCCAATATTCATTAATTGTCTTGTTTTGTGAAAGAAAATTAACAGTATATTTAGGATTTCGAGTATTAGGTTACCTTTACTTAGCTTTTTAAAAAAAAAAAATGTTGTTTCACCAAGTGTAGTGGCACATGGCTATAATCCCAGCACTCAGGAGACTAAGGCAGGAAGCTCACTGTGCGTTCAAGGCCAGCCTGAACTACGTTGTGAGACCTTGTGTCAAGCAGAAAAGTTAATGTTGATGTTCTACTTTAATAATGTCTTTTTAAGGTGGAAGAAAACTATATTTGTTTTTCTTAAAAACACCAGAAATTGTCAGTACAGAAATAGTCATTTTTCCAGTACCAGGTGTGGTGATCCACGCCTGTCATCCCAGCACTCAGGAGGCTGAGGAAGGAAGACTGCCATGAGTTCAAGACCAGCCTGGATTCCATAGTGAGTTCGGGGCTAGAATGTACAGTGAAACCTTATCTCAAAAAACAAAAAGGAAACATTACTTTTCCATAAATATTAAACATTTTAAAGATGTAATGTACTGTGATTTCTGCTGTTCTATTGAAAGGAGCAATTAATGCTTAATTTTTTTCTTTTTAATTTTATAACTTTTTAACCAATTTTGCAGGCTTATGGCTGATAATCTGAACAACTAATTTAAAGACAGCATTATGCAATGTAACAACCATTGTTGAATTCCTATTATTTTTCTTAGTGAAATTCTGTATTGTTTCTAATGTTTCTTTTTTACTATTTTATTCTCTTTTTAAAAAACTAAGATGGAATCTAATTTTTAATTGAAATTTAGTAAATGCTATATGCTATTGAGCAGTTATATACTTTTTTAAAGTTTCAGGTGATTAATATATAGAACAGTATTAACCGTGCTCTTATCAATTTATTCCATTGTTTACTTTGCTTAAAAAGAAAAAGATAACTTGGCATAATGGTGCAAGCCTGTAATCCCAGCCATCAGGAGACTGATGCAGGAAGATCACTGTGAGGTTGAGACCAGCCTGGGCTACATAGTGAGTTCAAGGCCTGGCTGAACTATGTAGCAAGATCCCGTCTTAAAAAAAAGAGGGCCCACCAGATAGCTCAGCGGACTAAAGCTCCTACTTCCACAGAGCATAGTGGCCTGGCTCAATCCCCGGCGTGCTGGGCCAAGCCCTGCCCCCTGGGTATGCTGAGACAGCAATTGAGACTGGGTGTGGTGGTGCACACCTGTTACCCCCAATGCTTAGGAGGCTGAAAACAGGAGAATCACGACTTCAGTCTAGGTAGTGAGACCCTGTCCTAAATTCATAAAGAGAAAGAGAAAAGAAAAAGAAATCAAGCTGCCTGATGTAAATTTGCGTATGTTAAAATGAAAATACATGAAATACTTATTTTCTCTTTTGTTTTGTGAGGCTAGAAGGTCCAGCTTAAAAAATGTGTCTGATCTTTTTGTGATGGGAGGAGCTCTTGTTTTAGAATCTGCAGCTCTCTTGCACTGGCTAGAGAGGGAAGGTTATGGACCTCTAGGAATGACCGGAATATCCATGGGAGGACACGTAAGCTCTTTTAAATGTATATTTCATTATGATTGTCAAACTAGGAAGTTCATTTATTCTAGAAATTCTCTATAGGTATAGAACTAACTTGTGTCTTGGTGAAAATAGGAAGAGACAAATTCTGAATTTTTATTCCTGTTATAAAGTGATTTTTTTCATATGACATCTAGCTATTTTATTGTACATTAACAGCTTAGCTATTAGACTTAACATGTTTTAAAAGATGATTATAAAATTTAAGTTTTGAAGTGTTACCTTTTTCATTGCAGAGACAAAATACCCAACACCCAAAGTTAGAGAAAAGGTTTATGTAACTCAGTTTGTAGAGGTTCTGATCTGGTTGGTTCTAAAGCAGGTGGCTTGGCAGAGGGGCATCATAGAGGACCATGGCAAGTAAAAAACAGCAAAAACAACAAGGGTTGACCACAGCCATTTTTATCTTTATATCTTATCTAGGCTACTTATGGCAAGTAGCATTCACACCCATAATCCTAGTGTCCTTGAGCCTAGCATTGCACCATAAATTGATCTCAGCATCACACACTCTAGATCCAGCCCTCTCAAAAAGCCCCCTCATGACTGCATGAGACTTTGGGACATCTACCCACAAGCCATAACATTTTGTCCCTGGTCCCCCAAGACTCATGCATTTGTTTGTTTGTTTTTAATTTATGTGTTTGGTACAAGGTCTCATTATGTAGCTTGGACTCCTAGTGATCCACCGGTTTCAGCCTCCTCTGCACTGAGATTACAGACATGCCCCATCATGCCTGGTTTCAGTAGCCCATTCCACTAACCCTGGGGTGGGGCCAGTATGGCATGTGATACAGGGAATCAGGCCTGGGTCCTTGTAGTTGCCAGGCAGGCACTTAGATCACTGAGCTGTTTCCCTGGCCCTCATGCATATCTCTTTATGTAAAAAGCATTTAGTATTAAGATGTTTTCAAGGGCTGGCCAGATAGCTCAGCAGTTTAAAGCGCCTGTTTAGGCAGAGCACAGCGGCCAGGGTTTGATTTCCCAGCGTGCCATGCTGGCCCCACCCTCAGGGCACACTGAGACATGGATTAAGACTGGGCATGGTGGCACATGCCTATAATCCCAGCACTTCGGAGGCTGAAAACAGGAGGATCACTGTGAGCCCCATCTATGTAGTGAGACCCTAAACACCCTGTAGACCCTGCACCAAATACATTAAATAAAAAAAGAAAAAGTTGACAAAGCTTTAATAGTTTTAGCATTACTAAAGAGTCTTAAAGTTTGAGATTTAAGGCAAACTCTTGGCTGCAAGACCTTGTACAAATGTAAAGAAAGTTAGACAATTCTAAAACTTAATGAAAAGAAATAACATTTTTATTTTTAAAATTACCATGGGGTAGAGCAAGGAAAGTGAGCAAAGCAATACCAGAATCTATCAGGGCAAATGTTAAATCTTAGTTCTACTTCCAGCATCCCTGGTCACTAATGGCAAGTTGTGAACTTTAAAGGGTATGGTTGTGGGGCTGGGGAGATAGCTCGGCAGTCTAAGCACCTACCTGGCAAGTATAAAGACCCAGGTTCAGTTCCCATTACTGCATGCCATGCCAAACCTGGAACCTCAGGCACACTGTGCCAGCCACCAAAACCAGGCATGGTGGCACACACCTGTAATCCCAGCACTGAGGAGTTGACACAGGAGGATCGTTATGAGTCCAAGCTATACAGTGAGACCTTGTACTGAATGAATGAATGAATGAATGAATGAATGAATGAATGAATGAATGATTTTAAAACATTTAAAGGGTATGGATGGCTCAGCTCCTGTGGTACTATTGGTGATTGTAGTTCTTACGGTCTTTTTCTTTGGCTGCCTTTGCTCACTCCTTACAGCTTTTTTTTCTGATGATCCACATTCCTTCCTTTTCTAACCTTCTGGGGACTCCACTATACCTTTGGCTTTACATTTATAGCTTTAGAGCCAGGGATATAGCTCAGTGGCACAAGCATCTGCCTGGCAAACATAAGGTCTGAGTTTGATTTCTGGTACAAAAAAAAAAAAATTGCATACAATTACAGCTTTACACACTGCCCGCTCAGGGATACAATTCCTGGCCTCCTAGGCCTTGTTCTGAAATCTAGGTGGGAACCTTTCTGACCCCACAACTCCCAATTCTCTGTGCATCTATAACCACCACCACATGTGTGACACCAAGGTCTGCTACTAGCTGGAGCAGTAGTCAGGCTTTTTCTCTCTTGGCTATAGGTGTCCAGTGCCTGTGTACTAAATCTTTGCCTTATTTTTATTTATTTATTTATTTATTTATTTATTTATTTATTTATTTTTGGTGGACCTTGCGCTTGCCTGGCAAGCATTTATTCTACTGAGCTATCTCCCCAGTCCTATATATACTAAATCTTGAGGAAGACTTTTCTAGGTTTCCCCCATTCTCAAACCTGATCTTCTGGGGCATTCTCAAAGCAAAGTTTTTTACTTTTATAGTATTGAGGCTGCAAAGGGTGAAGTCCTGCTGCTGCCTGTGATACCAGCAGGCCATGTTTTTTTATTTTCCTATCCTCAGCAGTGAAGATCTCTGCTCTGTGTTTGTAGTCCACAGCTTTATTGGAGCTTCCTTTCTTGCCAAACTCAAGACATTTTAAAACATTCTTCTATGTTCTTTGTTCTATATTCTCAACATAAATCTGGCTAAAAGCCCCCAACGATAACCATGCCACCACTGCAACATTAGACTGCTTTGAAATTTCTTCTGCAGGATTATTTAATTAGTCTGCAGTCCTTAATCTCAGTCTCGCGCAAAGTCTCTAGACATGAACAAAAAGCTCTGGAATCACAACAGCCAGTGCAGCCTTTCTTCCTAGGAGAAAACTCCCCAAGTCTATTTTTTGTTTTTTGTTTTTTTTTAGGGAAGGGTCTACAGAGTGATCAGGGTCTCACTACTATATAGAGCGCGTAGTGATCTGCCTGTTTACAGCCTTCCAAGAGCTGGGATTACAGGCACGCACCACCATGCCCAGTCTCAATTGCTATTTTAGCATGCCCTGGGGGCGGGACTGGCCCAGGGATCGAACCCCCTGGCCCCTGCGCCTGCTTGCAGGTGCTTTAATCTGCTGAACTATTTGGCTGGCCCTCCAAGTCTGGTATTTCCTGCAGGATTTCTGATCAGCTTTCTGGTTTTTGAACTCTGACCAGAATCTCCCATCAAGTATTGCCTGAGGTGTTTTAGCTCTACCTTTTCAGCCAGCATCTCCAATCCATTCTGAACTCTCCCCACAAGCCATGTCTAAAGGCTTAGGTATAGTCACAGCAGTGACCCCACTTCTGGTACCAAATTCTGTCCTGCTTACTTTTTTTGTTGTTGAGACATAATAACTGACACTCAAAGATAAAGGAGGAAAGGTTTATTTGGCTCACAGTTTGTAGTGGTTTAATCTATAATAGACTGGCTCTAAGGCAGCATGGCAAAGGGACATCACAAAGGAGAAAGAGTTCATGGCAAGCAAAAAATAGCAAAAGCGACCAGGGTTGACCACAGTTCTTTTTATCCTTATGTTTTAATCAGGCTCCTTAGGGTAGTAGCAGCAACACTCTTAATCCTATTGCTTTTGAGCCTAACATTGCACCATGATTAGATCTTAACATCACATATTATATGTAGATCTACCACTGCTGAAAAAGCTCCACCAATGACTGCATGAGGCTTTTGTTTTAATTTTATAATTATATTTAATAAAATACATCCAAAGTAGTATCTTTAAATGTATAACAATACAAAATTAATGAGCTATCTTATATTCTTCATAGTAATTAACTGAGTGATTTTTAAATTTACCCAGTAATTTGCATGTTCATCAGTGAGTATGCACTCCCATACTATAGAGTTTTGTTGAGGATTACCTTGCATGGCCTTTCACATAGATAATATTTATAAGATCTCACACACTAAATGTGTTAACTGTTGGTTACGGGGTTCCTATATTGCATGAGGCTTTGTTTTTTTTTTTTTTTTTTTTGGTTTTTTGGGTGTTTTTTTTGCAGAACCAGGGATTGAACTCAGACCCTTGTACTTCCCAGGGAAGTGCTTATTCTACTGAGCCATCTCCCTGGCCCCAGCTTGAGGCTTTTGAACATCTAGACACAAGCTAAATTTCTGTTACTTTTTCTTTGCTACAACAAAATACCCAACACCAAAAGTTAAAAGAGGAAAGTTTTGTTTACCTCACAGCAGGTAGAGATTTCAGTTCACAATTGGCTGGCTCCACTGGGTGTGGTGGTGCAGGCCTGTAGTCCCTGCACTTGGGATGCTAGAGCAGGAGGATCATTTTGAATTCAAGACCAGCCTGGGCTACAAACTGAGCTCCAGGCGAGCCTGAACTGCATAGTGGGACCCTATCTCAAAAAGAAAAAAAAGTTAAACAATTGCATGGCTCCAAGGCAGGGTGGCACAGGGCAGAGGGTAAATCATTCATGGTGGCAAAAGATGGCAAAAGCAACAACAGAGGAAAAAGACAGAGACAAGCCTCTTTCTGTCCCTTATATTATATGCAGGCTACCTGCCCTAGCGTGGATATAGCACTCACACCCCCAATCCAGCACTGGACCATAAACCACTCACAATCTCTAGATTTAGCCACCTCCAAAAGTCCATCACCCCATGACATGAGGCTGTAGGGGCATCCAGAAACAAACTGTTAACATCATAACAAGTGTCAAATATAAATACCCAGTTCTGCTGTTAAGATAGAATTTTGGACTGGTGAGATAGCTGAGTGAACTAAAGTTAGGCAAGTGCAGGAACCGTGGTTCGATCCCCAGCGCCACATGCTATGCTGGCCCCACCCCAAGGTTGGGCTAAGCTAGCCAGAGCCCAGGAGTAGTGGGCATGCCTATAATCACAGCACTGGGGAGGCTGACAGTAGGAGGATCACCACAAGTCCAAGCTGTGTAGTGAGACCCTGCAACAACCAAATACATAAAATTAAAAAAATATATATAGCAGAACTTTATCTCTTCACTTCTAGTACCGACATATTTTACTTTTGTCTTCCAAGAATATACCACAACCAGGCTGGTGAGATGGCTCAGTGGTCTAAAGCACCTACTTAGAACAAGCTTAGCAAAGCACAGGGACCACGGTTCAATCTCCCAGCACCACATGCCATCCAGCCCCGCCCCCTGGTGGGCTGAGCTGGACACACACACACACACACACACACACACACACACACACAAATAAATAAAAATTTAAAAAAAAGAATATACCACAACCAACTCTTAACTGATTTTTGTGTGTTTAGTCTATTTTGTCATTAGTGTTTTTACAGGCATGCACCACCGTGCCTGGCTCATTATAGTGTTTTAAAATTTCTCTCTGCACTATAACTAGAATAATATTTCTCTGATCTTTGCTTTCTTCTGCTCAGAACCTGCCATCTTTCTTTTACCTGAAGCTGTAGCTGTACTGAATGTTAGCATCCTTTTACCCTTAGTACCCTTTCACCTCCCTGAACAGCAGTTTCCCCTTGTAATTCCAGTTTAGAGCTTACTTCCCAACAAGGCTACTTCTGGGGCTGGGGAGATGGCTCAGTAGGATAAGCGCTTGGCTGGCAAATGCAAGGATCTGAGTTCAATCCCCGGTTCTGCCAAAAAAAAAGAAAAAAGAAAAGCTATTGGAATGGTATAAGCCAAAAAAAAAGGGGGGGGTACTTCTGCTTACATCTTTATCTCCATACTGTACTTCCCATTAGCTCTTCCTTTCTTTTTCTGCTTCCATTAATTTTAATTAGCTGCTTTATTATAAGATTGCATTTTTATTAGTACATGTTTATAGTACAAAATGATTACATGCACCATTGGGAGTTGATCCATGTACATAATTCAGCTTCTTTTAGCATACCATTTTATCTGTCGTTAGAGCTGTTCATCTTACCATAATTACTTTAGTTTATATTGTGGTAGCTTGTAACACCAGACTCTTAGCCAAGGGCCTTTGGTTGTTGTTGGTTTTTGGAGACAGGGTCTTGCTTTGTAGTTTAAGGTAGTCTTGAACTTGCTGAGTAGTCCAGCCTGGCCTCAAACTCACAGTGATTCTCCTGCTTCAGCCTCCTGAGTAGTGGGACTACAGGTGTGCGCCATCATGCCCAGGGCACCCACCTGTTTCATTGAACTTTTTTTGTTTGTTTGTTTTTGGGTTGTCCCCCCCCCCCCCCACAGCCCACTTTTTTTTCTTTTTCCCCCCCCCCCCCCCCGTGCTGGGGATTGAACTCAGGACCCTGTACTTACCCAGCAAGCACTTATTCTACTGAGCTATCTCCCCAGGCACGCCAGTTTGTTTTTTAATTATAGATATGCATTCTCATTTAAATTACAAAATTGAGTTTAAAAATGTTATTCAAATTCTAAGCAACTAACAATGAAATTAAGGTTAGAAAAGGATTTATTTTCCTACCTACTACTGTTTCCATTTTTATGACCTGGGCAACTGCCTAATAAGCAGTCTCTCTAGCTCACATCTCAACTTCTAATTGATCTTGAAAATCAGCTCACCTTAGCTTCTTCTTTGAATCACTTTCACATTACTATTTCCTTGCTCAGAACTCCTAATTTCCTAGGAATGAAAGGGACTTCTAATCTGGCCCTGAGCAATCTTTCTGCTGTACCATTTTCACTCACTCTAGTGCCCACAGAAGCCTACTGATCACAAAGCAGAAGTATATTGGCTGTTCCCTACCTGAAGTGTACTTTATTATCATCTTGATTTTGAACAAATGTCTGAAAAAATTCAGACATTTCTTGAAGCCTTCTGACTGCTGTAGCCAAAAGTAACTTCTCCTTTCTTTAAATGCACTCATTACATTATTTTATATCCATTATATAGTCTGCTGTATGGTTCACCAAATTCTTAGCCTTGCTCACACCTTAAAGGTATGAGATTATTTGGTTGTGATTTTGCTATGTCGGAGGAAGTCACTTTAGTTGAGTGTACTTTGCTTGCTGCCTAACGTTTACACCTCAGCACCCTTGCTCTGTACTTAAGTGATAGAAAGCAGGTGTTAGTAAATCATCCTCAAGGTCTTGATATTTGTATTTCTAAGTTGCTGAATTTCAGGTTCTGGGAATTTAACAGTGTTACTAGACATTCTCACCGATGTTTATACACTTTATGTTCATGTCTTACCTCATCACCTACCTACCACACAGATTTCTTAGCATTAAGTATTTTTCATTTTAATGACGTGGCAATTTAAAATCAGCTCTCTCAACCGGTTTATTATGTTGCAGATGGCCTCCTTAGCAGTATCCAACTGGCCTAAGCCCATGCCATTGATTCCATGTCTGTCTTGGTCCACAGCATCTGGAGTGTTTACTACGGTAATGAAATTGCAGTTACTATTAGATAGCTATATATATTATATGTATATATATATATATAATTAAAAGCCACTGTTTGGTTTATTCAGGAGATATTAACAGGACTCAGCATGTATTTGTATTCATGACCAATACTTAATTATAGCACAAGTAGACAACACAAAACCAATGAAAAGAAAAGGAACACAGTAAAACCTGGCACAAACTTCCCAGAGTCTTCAACCAGTGGAATCTTACAGTTTTTCCCTAATTCCTCCAATAGTAAGTTGTAACAAAGTGTGCAAAGTGCTCTATCCATTGCCTGACGTAGTAGGCCAGGAATTTTAATCAGGCATGAGTGAATTAGCACCTTTTTGCCCAGCAGGTTCCAAAACTCAAGAAGGAAAGTAGCATTGTAGTTTTTGTTTTGTTTTCTGAGGGGGAGGGTATTGTTGTTTGTTTGTTTGTTTGTTTGTTTGTTTATAAGTTGTGGAACTCTGATCCAAAAGTTTTGTCACTGCCAACACTCATGATGACCAGTAGCGTAAGTGCCTGCCAAGGTCCTGAGTTCAATCTTTGGTACCAAAAGGAAAGAAAAAATAATCATGATGATCAGGAAATTCGTATTAAGCAGACTCTACATTGCTTGTACAAATAGCATAGGTACAAATGACCCACTCTTTCCACATAGGGAAAGTTATAAATGAATAGCTTACCACTCAATTTGCTAGACTCACTAAACAGCCTTAAGGATAGGCAACCTCAAATCTGCTGTTAACTCTCTTTTATACAGTGATCAATAAAACTAAAACACTGAAGACTGTATGGTATGATTTGATCTTTTATTATTTTAGGGTGTACTGAGTAAATCGGTGAATTGGAGGGAACTGGAGAGGCAATACTACACAGAGACAGTTTATGAAGAAGAAATTATTCACATGCTTGAATACTGTGGAGTAAGTGTTTTAATAACATAACATTGAGGAAATATTGACTGTATTTGATGAATTAAATTTTAACTATAAGAGCCTGACCTGGTGCACATACCTGTAATTCCAGCACTGCCAGAGACTGAGGCAGGGGACTTCAAGTTTGACTCTCATGAAGGTAACATAGCAAGACTCTCAAAATAAAAAAGTGAAAAGGGCTAGGGATATAGTTAGTAGTATAGCACTCCTGTGATTGATCCCCAGTATCACCCAAAAAAAAGAAAATTTAGGAGCTGGGCCAGTTGACTCATGCCTGTGATCCAGCAGTTGGGAGACTGAGACAGAAGGATTGCTGTAAGTTCAAGGATGGCCTGGGATACAAAGTGAGTTCAAGGGCAGCCTCAGCTACATGGTGAAACCCTGACTCAGAATAGAAAAAAAAATTTTTTTAAAGAAGTACCACATTTTAAAAATATACACACACTGGGCTGGTGAGATGGCTCAGTGGTCTAAAGCACCTACTTAGAACAAGCTAAGCCAAGCAAAGCACAGGGACCGCGGTTCAATCCCCCAGCACCACATGCCAGCCAGCCCCGCCCCCTGGTGGGCTGAGCTGGCCACACACACACAAAATAAATAAATTTATAAAAAATAAAAATATACACACAATATTCAGCTTTTAAACATTCATTTTAAAATAAAACATATACAGAAAATCATACAAAGCAAATACATAGCTAATTACATTTATTAAAAAGCAACCATTGGCCAGCAAAATAGCTCAGCAGTCTAAAGCACCTGCTTAGGCAAGTGCACAAGGACTGCGGTTCAGTCCTTGGTACCACATGCCCTGCCAGCCGTGCCCCCATGGTGAGCTGAGTCAGCCCAAAAAAAAAAAAAAAAAACCACCACAATTAGGAATGGTGGCACACACCTATAATTGAAGCACAGGGGAGGCTGAAATAGGAAGATACAGAGTTTGAGGCCAATCTGGGCCACTTAGTGAGATCAAGGCCAGCATTGAGTACATAGCAAGAACTTGTCTCAATAAATCAATCAATATATGCCTGGTATTGTGGCACATGTAATACCTCTGGGAAGATGAAGTGGGAAAATCAAAAGTTCAACCCCAGCCTGGACAAGTTAGTGACTTAGACCCTGTCTCAAAATAAAAATACATAAAAGCCTGTAGGTGTAAAAGCCTCAGTCTGAAGGCATTACTCAATGTTAAGTACCACCACCAACCCCAAAAGGCTAAATGTTTGATTCTTTAATTTATCAGTTTTCAGCATAATGGGTAGGCTCTTTGTTATTTTCCAAAAGTGACTAATTATTTTCATGAATGTAAAAAACTTGCCTACTTGAGTTATTTCTTAAATTTGAGAAATTTCTTAAAGGAATCTTCCTTTATTGATAAAGATTTTATAATTACATCACTATGAACTTTACACTTACAAAGTCAGGGCTTTTTGTTTTTCATTTCTTTTTTTTTTTTTTTCCGCTGAACCGGAGATTGAACTCAGGCCCTTGTGCTTGCCAGGGAAGTGCTAATTCCACTGAGCCATCTCCCCAGACCCTGTTTTTCATTTCTTTTTGAGACAGAAGTTTTGCTTTGTTACCAAGGCTGACATAAAGTCCTGCTTGAGCCTCCCAAGTAGCTGGGATTATGGGCATGTGCTATTGTGCCTACATTTGGTCAGTCATCCATTTCATCAAATAGTAGTTATTTGCTTCCTTCAGAACTTTGTAGCCTGGCCCGTGAGTCAGACGTGGTGGTGCACACCTGTAATCCCAGCACTCGGGAGGCTGAGGCAGGAAGATTGCTCTAAGTTCAAGATCAGGCTGGGCTACAAACTGAGCTCAAAGGGCCAGCCAAATAGCTCAACGGACTAAAGTGCCTGCTTAGGCAGAGCACATCGGCTGGGGTTCGATCCCCAGCATGCTATGCCGGCCCTGCCCCTGGGGCACACTGAGACAAGGATGGGGACTGGGTGTGGTGGCATGCACCCAGCACTTGGGAGGCTGAAAGCACGAGAACCATTACCAAGTCAGATCTGTGTAGTGAGACCCTGTAGACCCCATGCTAAATACATTAAAAAAAAAAAAAAAAAAAACCACCACAATTAGGAATGGTGGCACACACCTATAATTGAAGCACAGGGGAGGCTGAAATAGGAAGATACAGAGTT